TGTAAGAAATGAAAATGAAAAAATGAAAATAAAACATTTGAATACAAGTTTTATAGCTGTTCTTTGCAAAAAAAATTAGGGAGGTGAGCGTTGTTACGGAGAATACACAATCGCCATTTTATGAGCTTTTTTTTTTTTTTTAGATAACCAAATTAACGAAGGAAGCTCTTGTAGAAAAAATGAAGCTAGGATTTAAATAAGCAGATGAGGTTCTCAGATACGGGCTCTGCTTATATTAATATCAGATAGATAGTTCAAATATTGTTCTAAGTGGGAGAATCTTACTTTGAGCTGAAAAAAAAACAGCTGTAGTTTCCAGCATGGAGATGATTCAGCCTCGGCTGTCCCCCCCTCTCTTCGCAGACAAAAAAGCTGCAAAGATAGAAAAAAAGGCACTTGCCAGCTGGATCTCTCTCCTCCCCTTCTTGCCTGAAGGATGAGGTATCTGTCAGATGTCTAGGCAGATAACGTGACTAGGAACTCGGGAGCAGCTCTATTAAGCTGCCACCATCAGCAAGGTCCCGCCCAGGAAGTCCCCCCCCCCCGTTTCAATGGCAGCTGAAGCAGTAGCAAGGCAGAGGCTGACAGATACAGTGTTTTCCCCCAATATATACTGCCAGCCAGTTGCTAAAATACATAATTCATATTGAAAACCCTTTTGGAACTGCAATAATCAGTTTGGATTATTTTTTTCAATACTTGGAAGTAATGCCATAAAGCTCAACAAATCTGGAAGGTGATTTATCAGAAAAAGAAAACAATTCTAAACCTCAACTTTTCTTTCCTGCCAGCTATTTTTCTGTTAAACATTAATAAGCTTCGTATTTCTAGAAAGTCCACAGAGTTGGCCCTATATATGATAACAGCCACTAGGACAATTTATGCATTTTATTGGAAACTGTACGCAGCAATGGCAGATTAATCAATGAGAATATGCATCAATATAAAAAAATATTGTATTTAAAACATAAGTTTGATACTGTATTTAAGTTAGAAACCACAATTCTATGCATCCAAGGGCTTTATGGACTGGCCATTGACCTCAATAAAGATCCTGTTCTGTTGAACAGAAGTGGTACAACAGCTTATGCTAATTTTTTTCATATTCTTAATTTATTGTCAAATGTCAAGAGTCTACACAGATCAATCAATAAAAAAACAAGGAATTGACTCATTAAAAGAGATTCTTGTGGTGGCAGACAATAAAAACCTTAATTTTCTTGGCACAATGTGAATCTCCAAATCATCTAAGTCAAAGTATGATTCAAACACAGCATCTGCTCAGCAGCAGTTGCAAGTGAATAAAACTGTACAATTTTGTTTTTTGAGAGCAAACAAGTGCAGTAACTCTATTTCAGGCTAATCTATGGATTTAGGAGTGGATAGAGGCGTACTGAATATGAGATGTTCCTTAAAGAGTGAATATTAAACCTCATTTCTAGGCAAAACAAAAAGTGTTAGAAAAATAGGAATGATGAAAACCATTTAAAGGCTTGCTAATAATAATCAATAGCATAGTTTCTTCTGATCTCAGAATTAATGAGATTGAGATGAGAGTCTGTAGTAGGGTAAATAAAAGCCTATATTTTTGTCCAAGAGGATATTTTCAGAATAAATAGGTTGGGCCATGAATTAAGCCATAACATTTGTTTCAACCAGGATTTCCAGCAACACATTTTCATGTAGGCCTCCTTGAAGCATAGCTTACTTTCAGCTAAATGGGAATTTGACATGGATTGTGGAATACGAAGGAAGCATATTTCTTATACATCTGAATTGGATTGCTTCAAAGGCCCATTATATCTCCATAGCCTTGAGGTTATTCATGGTACAAAAGAAAGATCAGTTATTTGCTTCTGAATAGCTGCTGAAAAGACACATTTATTATCATTGCAAATAGCAAATCCAATTATCGCATGAGAGGTTTTAGATATGTACATTAATTTCTAGAATCTGTTGTTTCCAAGTGCTGGAAAACTGAAAGTGGTTTTATTAATATTTAAAAACCCTAATTTGATCAGTTTGCATACCACTGGTTTTCCAATTAAGGTAACAGTCTGTTCCTCACTGAATAACACTGAATAACTTTGTTTTAGAGCAATTAATATATACAGTTTCCCATCATGGCAAACTTACCAGTGCCTGAAATACACACCAAAAGCAACTCTGAGAAGGGAAGGATTATTGGCAGTGTTGATATAAAGGATGGAAATAGGTTTATAATCTAGTGATGAGAAATGGAGCTCACATTTTGGGAGAGTCTATATGTAATGAGATTAACATAAAAGTTAAATAAAAACAAGATAAGAATGCAATACATCTCTGTTAACTTCCTTCTCTGCAGGCATGGATGCACAAAACCGTCACATTTACTCTGCATATATGTATTCTCAGGGAGTGTTATGGGCCTGTCTAATGAATAAGATTCGAAACTGGAAAGGTAGAGTTTGAAAAGTTCTAATCTTCAATACAGTTTAGCACCAAGCTATGATGTTTGGAAGCCCAGAAGGATTTCATTATGCAAGCTATGGTAGGCAGGGGTTTTGGTCTGCATATTTACAATCAGTCTTTTCTTACTCCTAACCCTCATGGAGCTTGAATTTAGAAGACCTTTTGTTCTTTGCTGTACAAATCCAGATAAATATATAAAATATGAGGAAGCAGAAAGTAAAAGCTAACTATTTTCTTTTTGCTGCAGGAGAAGTTAAGTGCATTTGTTAGTTCACAGTCAGTTCAAGCTTGCATGTTCTGGAGTTTGGACAGAACCTACAGCTAGGTACAAAGGTCATCCATCCATTGGCTAGTTGGAGGCCACAAGTAAATACTGATTAGTTGACATGTTCAGCAAGCGATGGATATCAGAATAGATGTACAAAAGTGCAGGCAAGCTCAGGATATTAATGCTATGAATGTAAAGATAGAAGGATTCTAAAATATTTGGACTGTTACTGCAAAAGCCTGGAAAATAGATGGGTTGGTCATCTGGTGAGCCTTATCTTCTCTTATTATCATAATAGACATTAATAGATGTTCTTTATTGAGGCAAAATGTAGAGTATTTGCTCTCTATCGCCTTTATCTCAGAATAGAAGGCAGTCTAGGAATCTTCAAAGAGTTCAATGGCTGAATTTACAAATCATTGGGTTTATTTAACTCTATTTTTTTTAAAAAAAACAGTAACATATACAATTAGATGAATGAAGGCCATGGATTTAGACACAAACAAGAAAAGGTATGATCCCAGTAACTGAGCCCGATATTCTGGTATATTTTGTTTTTAGCAACAGAGAGCAATCACAGCATGTGGTAAGTTTTAAGGAATCCTTGAGTATGATATAAAGACAGCAAAGGGAAAGGGAAAGATGAAAAGGAAAGAAAGAAAGGGAAAAGGAAAGTTTTCTATTTTAAAAAAGGTAGCAATTTCCACTCGGTCAAGAAATGCTGGATTGAAATTCAAATTTTTGTTGCATAGAAGATTGTAAAACATACTTGAGGTTTGAGGTTTATTGGATTTATATGCCGACCTTCTCCCAAGGACTCAGGGCGGCATACAACATAAAAGAAAACACATATTACAAAAATTAAAAGGGACATTAAATAAAGTATCCAAAAAAACCCAATTGATATTTACAATAAAANGAGGTATCTGTCAGATGTCTAGGCAGATAACGTGACCAGGAACTCGGGAGCAGCTCTATTAAGCTGCCACCATCAGCAAGGTCCCGCCCAGGAAGCCGAAATTAGTTGCCTTAATTGATCCATTCTGGCTATTTTTACATAAAAGCACAGTAAATGAAACTTGTGGAAAACAGTGGAAGAAAAGCAACTTGTGTGCAGATAACACTGCAATCTGGAGACAGATAATTTGGAAGGTTCTCTTACTGTTCCAGACCATATCCAGACCACCACGAAACATGGCCTGTTTCAGAAATTTTTATTTCTAAAGATTGCTGGCCCACCCCCAGAATGTATTATAGCAGTTCATAATTCCCCATAATATTCCATCCTCAAATTCCAATTTTTTAAAATTAGTTTTATAAAAATATAAAATACAAAGAAAAGTGAAAATAGTGGGAAAGCAGGAGAGGAAGAAGGGAAGACAAGTGCAGGATAAAAGGTGAAAAGGAAAAATTAGCATTGCATTGACTTCATAACCTTTTTAGCAGAGTAAAATAAAATAATATATAGCCTCAACTTTTTACTTTTGCATAATAATACATACTAGCCATTTCTATAACAACAAACCTAGTTTATCATCAAAACCCAAAAATCAACATTTCACTTTTTTCCACCTCAGGCACAAAGTCGAGAAGTTTCCCACTGGAAACAAAGTTAGCTATATTCTTTGATTAGGCCGGTCAATTTAGCCATTTCTGCCAGTTCCATCAGTTTTTTCAGCCAGCCATCTATTGTGGGAATAAACTTTCTTACCATTTTTATGCACAGAGCATTCTTGCTGCTATCAATAATGTTACATCTTCAGAACAGAATATTTGCTTATATCAACTACACAGGGCATGAAAGATAATATACAATGATCTCTATATTTTCATATTCGGGTTCACAAAAAAGTGACCCACCCTACCCCATTTTTGAAACCCTGCTTTGATGTGTTTTGGCTAACAATGTAAAACGAAGGTAAAGAAGAGTGGTCTTTTTTGAAAACCCATATCAAAAGTATCCTTAATAAATTGTTCTTCTACTCCAGACTCGTTCTCGTAGTGGCAGTGCTGTCCTGCACTCTCAATCCAGCACTGAAGATGCCAAGGAGGAACCATCAGAGATCAAACAGGAAGCTGAGGATCCTTCTCATGCTGCAACCTCCAAGGGACCCTCTGAGGATGCTTTGGAAACTAAAGCAAAACGAGATGAAGAAGAACGGGAGAGGGAAAGACGAGAAAAGGAGCGGGAACGAGAAAAAGAAAAAGAGAAAGAAAAAGAAAGAGAAAGGGAAAAGGAGAAAGAAAGGGAAAGGGAGAAGCAGAAGCAAAAGGAATCCGAGAAGGAGAGAGAATCTACCAAAGAAAAGGACAAGGGAAAACATGATGATGGAAGGAAGAGAGAAGCTGAGCTGGTCAAGCAATTGAAAGCAGATCTCAAGTAAGTTGATCTGCATTTTTTTCCCCTTGGAGAGTTGTACTGTGATAGCTGAAGATGATTTTTATTTTTTGGTTCCTGTGACACTTTACTGTGTCAAAAGAAAAGAAACAGGGATTGAAGTTGGGTCCTAGATCTTAAAAGGTGTTTTATTTTTTAACAGTGGGTTAAACTTTGCAGATATTGTCAATTTACAAGGGGGATCCCTGGATTTGTGGAAGTCACCTGGGATTGCTTCTACACTGCCTGCACCAATGAAGTGATGAAGTATCTGTGCGAGATGCTCACAGCATTCAGCACCAATAGTCTCTCAGCTATATAACTTGCAATTTCTAGGCCATATGCAAAGAGCTGATGACAAGCAATACCATCACATTCTACAGCCAGCATTTTTTCAAGTTTTCTCCTGTGAGACACTCACCTTCTTGGAACTTTCACTTAGCAAGAAGTAGCAAGAAGTGGCCTTCAACCTCCAGTTGTGACACTGTCTAGGGTCGAGATCATTTATTAATTTGTTCCAGCAGTTATAGAACAAAATGAATAGCCTTTTTTCTTCTTTTGTCCCCAACATCACTCCAGGGGACAATAAGCCCTAACTTAGTGGGAAGAGTGAGCTGAATTGTTGTTTGTCACTAGACAATGCTATACCGTTTTACCCTTCTGTTTTATTTTCCAATCTATTCAGGAAGGCACAAGAAAGCCAGAAAGAAATGAAGTTGTTGTTAGATATGTACCGCTCTGCTCCCAAAGAGCAGAGAGACAAAGTTCAACTGATGGCTGCTGAAAAAAAGGCTAAAGCTGAGGTAATCGTATTCAAGGTGGTCCAAAGTATTTTCTGTTCTAATCTCTCCCATAATATAATGGACTCTGATTTTTACAGCTTCATAAAGCAACCTAGAAAGTTGGAGGCGAATTAGAAGTGATCTCCATTGAATATTTAAAATCTATCCCTTTATATTCTGCATTTCAAACATTCAGATTCTGCCTGTCAGTTGATACCAACTGACAGGCAGAAATACAGAATATTAAAGGATTTAACTATTCAATGGAGATCACTTCTAATTCGCCTCCAAGTTTCCAGATTGCTTTATGAAGCTTTAAAAAATAGTTTGGCTTACAAGTCCATAAAAAAGAATCCTTGCCTTTTCCTTGCAGTCTAAAAAGGCATGAAACAAACAAAGAGCAGGAACCAAACAAAAGAAAACAGGAAAACAAGAATAATTGGGTATTGGATTTTAGTGACATACTGATCTTATAATGAATATAAAAGAACATGCCACAAGTCATTATCTTTTTGTGTCACAAATGAGTGGAATTAGTTCTGTTTTTTTCTCCATTTAAACCAGTGATGTAATTCCTCTTCCTTTCTCTTCAACTGCTATGGTGCAGTTTAATGGGTTGATGCAGAATCCTCTTTTTGTGAAATTTTGTAAGATGGCATTCTGTCTAGTGCTAATTAGCATATCTATCAAACCTTTTTATTTCCTCCAAGTAATTCTGAACAAACATTAGGATCCTTTGAGCTATCCTCCTCCTCTACTGTTTGCATATTCATTTTCTATTCCTTTAAAAAAAAACTTTTCTCCTGGACAATTCTGATTTTTATAGTTGGAAGAGCTAAGACAAAGACTGAAGGAATTGGAGGATAAGGAGAAGAAAGAGAGCAAAAAGATGGCTGATGAGGACGCTCTTCGAAAAATCCGGGCTGTGGAAGAACAGATAGAATACTTGCAGAAGAAACTAGCCATGGCAAAACAGGTAAGAAGTAGTAATCAGATGGTTGAGAGGCAAATAGAGTAAATAGTCTTATTCCTCAAGGATGTTAAATCTTTGATTCCCTCTTAATGACTAGGTAAGAGATGATTGGAGTTTAGAGTGTTGATATTTTTCTCCTTACTACCACCCCCACCAGATATCTATGTCCCAATGGAGTCATCTACTTCGCTAGGAAAATGCATATTTGTGGCAAATTATATGTATCAGAAAGGTAGAATCCATTTTAGATAATTTATGTTAATTAATAAATTGGTTTAAATTATATGCCAATAACTAAAAAAAATCTAGACACTCCTGATAGTTATTTTTTCCATCACAAACATAATCACAAACATAATCACAAACAGGTGATGCCATAATGACATGCTTATGATGATGCCATTGTGCAAATGCTTTTACATATTTGAGTCCTGATGTCTGAAGTAAATACATAGATGGCAATATAAAAATAGTCCTCTTTTAGTGACAGCAACCCTTTCCCCTTATGAAGGTGATGAAAATGTGACTTTGCAGCCAGCCCTTGCATTTACAATTTTTGTAGGTCCGTAGAGCAAAGGAAAGCTGAAGTGAGATTTTAAGCATGGTTGCGGTTTCACTTAGCGACCACTTTGCTCGATGACCAGGTTGCAAGTCCCAATTCTAGTTATTAAAGAATAAACTCCCTGTATTTGATTGCATGATGATATCACTCAAAGGTTATCATTTATATCCCCTCCTGTTAAGTGCCGACACATTTGTCTACTTGTATCATAGTATCCAGAAAAGGTGGAAACTGTTTCCCTCTCAATTCCAGGAGGAAGAAGCCCTGTTATCCGAAATGGATGTGACAGGCCAGGCCTTTGAAGACATGCAAGAGCAAAACATCCGCCTGATGCAGCAGCTGAGGGAAAAAGACGACGCCAACTTCAAGCTCATGTCAGAACGCATCAAATCCAACCAGATCCATAAGCTATTAAAAGAGGAAAAGGAGGAACTCGCAGACCAGGTTCTTACCCTGAAGACCCAGGCAAGTGGAGAAATTGAGAAGAGAAGCGAAGTAGGAACCCAGAAGTCTTAAATTCTTTGACCAAGAGATAAGTTGAAAGTGCAGTTGTTGTCATCAGTGAGAGACTGCATTTTAAGATTGGGTTTTGCGTACATCTTTACCACAATTTTCTTTTGAGCAGCTTGGCGGTAATCTGGCATCTTTTTACATAGGGGAAGATGACCTATAGCCACGAGTGACCACGAGCCCCATTTTGAGACACACACACACCCTCCCCCATGTCAAGCTGCCAACATTTTGTGGCAAATGTTCAATTTCTAGTGGCATGTTTTTTTGATTTGTGCAAAACAAAACCGCTCCCCTGATAGATGCATTAAGCCTCCAATACCCTTAATGCAACTATTCTGAGTAGTCACTCAAAAAAGGGCTGCAGTTTTCAACTCTGCTCATTCAGGTGATATCCCTGTATTATTGACTTGCCCCTTATATACCGTAGAAGCCATTTTTTAAGGGGGGGGGGATTCAATTCATAAGAAAATGATCCATTCCTATTCTGAAACAATAATACATTTTTGATCCAGGCGTGGTATTTGCAGAGGAATGCTAATTTGATAAGTGCAAACATAGTATTAAGTATAGACATTGATTCCTGGAGCAATAGTAATATCACTTAGACTTATATACCGCTTCAAGCACTTTTACAGAGTCAGCATATTGCCCCCAACAATCTGGGTTGTCATTTTACCGACCTTGAAAGGATGGAAGCCGAGTCAACCTTGAGCCTGGTGAGATTTGAACTGCTAAATTGCAGTCAGCTGGCAGGCAGCAGAAGTAGCCTGTAGTACTGCATGGACACCACTGTGCCACCATGGTTCAGCATCCTTTAATTTGTAGCCCTTCTTAGAAGAAAGTGAGCTATGACTGCTTGACATTTCAGGATCCATTAAAGGGAAGATTTCTGTTGGCTGTACTTAGTTTCTCATTCCATAGTGGACAAAAAAGCACAATCATTATCAAACAAGCAGAACTGTACACTTTACTTAAAGGTTCCAATCCTAAGAGACAGAACCATAAATAAGTTGACCAATGCAAAATCCTAAATTGAATGCTTTCCTCTTCCTTGTTTTTGCCTCCTGAAGGTGGATGCCCAGCTGCAAGTTGTGCGCAAGCTGGAGGAAAAAGAGCATCTGCTACAAAGCAACATTGGCACTGGAGAAAAGGAGCTGGGCCTGCGAACCCAGGCCCTGGAGATGAACAAGCGGAAAGTAAGTGAATATATACAGGTAGTCATCAACATACAACAGTTCTCTTACAGACACTGAAAAAAGTGATTTTATGACCATTTTTCACACTTATGACAGTTGCAGCATCCCAATGGCCATGTGATTTACACTTGGATGTTTGACAACTGACTCACGTTTATGATGGTTGCAGTGTCCCAGGGTCATGTGATCACCAGTGGCAATCTCCTGACAAGCCAAGTCAATGGGGAAACCAGATTCACTGAATAACGGTGTTACTAATTTAATAACTGCGTAAAATGGGGAAAAACTCAGTTAACAAAATTCTCACTTACCAACAAATTTTTGCCTCAATTGTGGTGGTGGTGGTGGTGGTAGTGTGTTTGTGTGTGTGTATGTGTGTGTAACGAAATTAAAATCCCATGGGACAGTTTCCTTGTTTTTTTACACTTGTGAAAGTTTTCTTGTTTTTTTACATTTATGAAGGAGACTTAAAAATAAATAAAAGAAACGGGAGTCAAACTAAGTTGCATAATAAAAGCAGGAATAGATCCATAAATGCAGATATGTATAATAATTGTACAATATGTATACATGTATGCATATTATGCATTTTATGTATATTAAAAGCAGGAATGGATCCACAAATATGTGTAAAGAGCAATGGCACCATGATAAATATTATCATGTCTTCCTCTTCCTTGTGCCTAATCAGTTCTCTAAGGAAGGATCTTCTTGGGTGTAACTCAGGGCTTCAAACTCACGGGCCACGGATGCATCACACACTGGCCACGCTTGGTTTAGCAAGTGGGGGGGAATCATGATATGTCATGTGACAACGCCATGATGATGCGGGTTTGACACCCCTGGGGTAAACTGACCAAAATTTATATGGAACTCCATCCTGAACTGTCTTCTGTCAACCAGCCTTATGCTAAATAAGACTCGCCTGGAAGATTCTTAATTTGGTTATCTATAGAAACAAGCATTCACTTTGAATTTCCCTCCTAGAAGTTGCTCCTATCTCCTTAGAAACCCTTCAGTTAAGCGATCTTAAGAAATTATTGTAGGATAAAGACCATGCAATTCCAGGCAATGAAACTGGAAAAAGTTCCATTCTTCACAGCTGTAAGCTCTGAACTTGGATTCATATACGTATATTCAATCTGAAGGCTCTTAAGATTAATCCTGTGAATGTTAAGCAAGTCAGATAGCCCTCACTTAGCAATCCTAATTCGGATTGGAATTTCCGTTGTTAAGCATAGTGGTCATTAGGCGAAGCATCACATAACAGTATCAGCAGTTTTAGTAGTCCGGTTTTTGTGGCTAGATGAGGACTGCCCCATCGTTAGATAAGGACTTTGCACTTCTGCCCTGCACGAACTGCCAGCTCCATCCTCCTGCTTCCTTCCCAGCTGGACCCAGAGAGTTGCCTTTGGCAGAGGCTCCACTGACCTGCTGAGCTCACCTCCATTTCAACTTCCTCTATCACAATGTGTGTGCTCCAACTGCCACTGCCTGTCTCCCATCTCTGCCCTTTTGGCTGTCATGTACTCTGCTGCTGCCATTTAAATGATCACCCCAGCCAACTATGTTATCATCTTCTTCCTCCTGTTGCTTTCAAAAGTGTGCCTAATGTCAACAAAGGGCCAGCAGACATCAGCGGAGTGCACGGAGGCAGGGGCATCAGGAGTGGTGGACTGCAGGGTGGCAAAAGGGCAGACATGAGGTGGGGGGGGAAGATATGCAGATGGGAATTGAAGTGCATGCTGAGGTTGTAAATGTGGCTGGGTTGCCAAGTGCCTGTTGATCATGTGTTGATCACCCCATGTGACTGGGTGTGTGTGTGTGCTGTGATGACTGTAATTTCAAGGGTTGGTCATGACTTTCATTTGTTCGGCACTGTTGCAATTTTGAATGGTCACTGAACATTGATCCTCAAGCTAAGACTGTGCATATATCTATTTATGAAATATGCACCAAGAGGGTGAGTGGAATGGATTGGCAGCTGCAAAGGTCTCTATTTTACAAATAGACAGGTTTCCCTAGAAGGCAGAGGAAATTTTTATTGAAAGCCTGATAGACTTAGGTTGGGCCCCCAAATGAAAAACAGTTATTCCAGTTGTGTGAATCCTTTCAAATGAGTGTCTCCCTAGGAAGAGATAGCTAGAGCAGATAAATCTCTCCCTCCTAAGGAAATGCTGAGAAATCACAAATTATTTCTGTAATTAGGAGAAAAAGCGATGCTGCAAAGTGATTTCATGGACAAGGAGCAAAAGTGTGGGGAAAAAATTGAACTTCAAAAAAAAAAAATTAACAGAGTAGTCTGATGTAAATAATTAGATGGTTTGAAGGTTTCCAGCAAAAAAAGGTTGTTAGGATAAATGAAAAACAGAATGAGCTGAGGGCGGGTTGAATGCCATGAGAAGAAGATAGGTTGATAATAATTTGTTGAGAGCTTGCCATTTTCGTTACTGCATTAGCACTGGTTGTTAACATGTAGAAAAGAATATGACTGCAACTTATAATTTTGTGTCAACCGAAGTTCTGTGTCTTCAATTCTTAGATCAGAATGAACTGCAGGACCCATTTACCAGACATCTAGGGCTGCCCTAATCTGTAGATCAGCAATTAGTTGAGGATTTGAGTGAACCTTTGCCCAAGAATTCTGGATCTCTTCTTGACAACACATTAACATTTCTGACAAAAATAGCAGTCACTGAGACAAAAGTCCTGTTTAACTGTTGCAGGAGTTTTTTTGTTTTTGTTTTTTGAGAAGGAACCCTTTTTTAAATGTTAAATGTTCTCCAGCACTGAATTTTCAAAAGTGTGAAATCTCTGAGGCCTGCAGAGAACATCGGAAGATAGGAATGATGTTGGGTCTATAGATCACTGGGCATGGGGGGATTTTCTCTGCCAGGGTTTCATTTCTGTATGGTAGATCTCTGGGGAATTTTATTTCCTCACTCTACCCTCCTTAATTAGAGTGCCAAGGCAGCTTGTAAAAAGTTAAACACCAGTTTCAGGTTTTTTAAAAAATAATAATGAAACATCATGGTATAAAGAGAATTTTTCAGAAGGAAGAAGTAATCATAATAGTGAAAGGAGGAACAAAGCATTGTGCAGTGTTTTAAAAGCTTAGGAAACTGATCAAAGGCACTGAGATGAAAATAAGATAGATGGCAGGTTGTCTTCTTGGCTGCAGTTTTCCATGAAGATTGCCTGACTGGTTTTTGGTATAGGATAATGAGATGGGACTTAGAATGTATTTGTATATATTTTGGACTGATTCTTCTCCCCCATCATTCTCCCCAATTCCCCCCTCCCTTACCTAACATATTCCATTTAATCCCATTCCATTCCCTTCCTCCCCTCCTGGAGTTTCAGCAATATTTCCATGTTTATCTGCAGAATAAGGTGGTAGAATGGGCTTGGGACCCTCAAACCAAAGAAACAGGCTCACTCATGTGTTCTGCAGAGTTAAATTTGAGAAACAAATCAGCTTGTTTTTGCAGTCAGAACTGGTGCAGGTTCCCCCAATGTCCTCACTTTCTTTTGATGTTGATGTAAATCTAATCTTCAGGTAGAAGGCCCTTGGGCTCCCAAATAGATGTTTGGTCCTAGGCCAAGGAGGCCCTGTTATTTACCACATAATAATCAAATAATGGAAATAGTGGCTATTGTAGGTAAGTGCTGAAATCCTTCCTCCCTCCTTCCCTCCCTCCCTCTGTCTTTTTCCAGAAGAAAGTTTACATACAATCCCAAAGCATAAGATGAAACTTCTGATTTAATCTTTAGAGTGCTACTATTCCTTGTGCAAATTTCAATAAGTGGAATGGGAAAACATTACGGTTTTGTTTTCTAGGCTATGGATGCTGCTCAGCTAGCTGAGGACCTTCGGGCCCAATTGGAACTGGCGCAGAAAAAATTGCATGACTTCCAGGATGAGATTGTGGAAAATAGTGTAACAAAGGAAAAAGACGTGTTCAACTTCAAACGAGCCCAGGTAACCGGCATGCAGTCCTTTGCTTGGATAGCTACCTCTCACAATTTGTCTTTATTTCCAGTTTCATTCATTCAGATTATATGTCTGCCTCTTGTTTTCTGACAGCATTTTGGTTCCTAGTTCAATAGCTTGGTCGCTGTTACATGACTCACTTTCAATTGTTTCCACTGTTGCTTTTGTTAATTGTCAATGCTGGCGCTGAACACCTAAACTGAAGCTTCTACTATTCACATATCAATTTTAATTCAGTTTTTAAGTCCCCAAAGAGTTCTAGAAGGCTCTAATATTAATGGAAGAACTACAGCTTTCTCATTTTCATAATAACTTAAAATAGATCCATGAATTTTTCTAATTCATGTGAAACACTGCAGGGCTGTAAAAGCCAAAATGTAGGTGTTTATGAACCTTTTACCAGATTTATTTCCATTACAATAGGAATGGCCATCTGAAAGGCAAAAGATAACAGGCCTACCTGACTAATATTTTTCTTGTAGGAGGATATTTCACGGCTACGAAGAAAACTGGAGACAACTAAGAAACCGGACATGATTCCCAACTGTGATGAGATCCTCATGGAAGAGATCAAAGACTATAAGGTAGATCATGTGAGGCCTATAGACTCTTGGGTGTGATGGGTTTAGGCATATCTTTGTATGTTTGGAGAAATATAAAAATTGCCACTAGTGTGCAGTTGGGGTGGCTCATTTGGGAAATACATTATGGAAGGAAAGAGCCCTCTCGCCTTTCCAGGATGAAGAATGAACATTTTCTCCCTCATACACTAAAAGGGGAGGACTTGTCTGTTGACATCTGCTCCTAAACCCTGCCCTGTCTTTCCCAAAGGCTCGCCTGACGTGCCCCTGCTGCAACATGCGGAAGAAGGATGCTGTGCTCACTAAATGCTTTCATGTCTTCTGTTTTGAATGTGTGAAGACTCGCTATGACACTCGACAGCGCAAATGTCCCAAGTGCAATGCTGCATTTGGAGCCAATGACTTCCATCGGATCTACATTGGTTGATATGGCCAGATATGTATGGCCAGAAGAACTCCGCTGTCCACTCCCATACCTGCCATTCTTCAGCAGGCTGGATACTGCTCATTGCCAGCTAGGTTTCCCCCTATTTTGACTTCTTTGTAAAGGAATATGTTGGTTTATTCTTTTTGCGTATGTGTTCTTTTTGTTTTTCTCGTCACTTTTTTTTAAAGTACTGCCAATTCAGAAGCCAGTTCTCACTTGTTTGGTTAAATACACTTTTTGTGGGGTCCAAGTAGTCAATTGATCCCTGATTCATCAGTGTTGCCATCATTTGGCTTGGAACTAAACCAGGCAGCAACATTTAAACTGGGAAATCCAACTGAGATAGCTTGTTGGCTTTCTGATGATTTTTTAGCTAATTGTTTCTCTGTTTTGGATAAAAGAGGAAACTCTTCTTTTAATGTCTGCTTGTGCATGTGGAATGCTGCAGTCTACAGAAGGCATTCCTACGTCTGAAGAAAGAAGACAGCAATGTACCCATCCTATTTCAAACTGAACTTTTAACTCACGTTTTCTGAAAATTGCCAACAAAGTACATCGTGGAAGTTGAGGCATTGAGAAAATAGTGACCTTCATATATTTCATCTCTTCATCATATGTAATCTGCTCCGATAATGTATAATTTTGGATCCGATTATATAATGCTGCTGTTTTGAGAAAAGACCACTTTTTTGACACATTGCCTGGAGAATTTTAATACTAAGGGTAAGCACAAATGGTAGCTGTTGACAACATTTGGCCATTGCTTTCTTGCAGCCAATCTGTTGCATAAATGGGAACTGGATTACACTCAAATGTAATGAGCCTGATTCGCTTTGAATGTTTTCTGTGTAGTGAAGGAAGCAATTCTGGACCAGAACTAGTTTTTTCAGGGAAGTCACCTCCTTTTGGTTGGCCAGAGAATTGTCAAACAATGGTCCAGGCTATATTGGCTGCTACTGTCTCTTTGGCTATGAAAATGAGATTTTCATAGACATTTTTCAAAGGGCATTGTCTTCAATAAATTGCCATGGTTCTCTCTTGTTTTTGCTTTGTGGGATTGTTGTGTTGTTGTTGTTGTTTTGCCCTCATTCTTGCGAACAGACTGAGTCTGTAAATTGATTTTAGATATGGAGAGTTTGGGATTTTGATGTTTGTATATCCATGTACATACTGTAGCTAAAGAGCTATTATGTAAGAGCTAAACTAAAGGGCGAGAGCCAAGTATGTTTTTGCACTTTTTGAATGGAATGGTGGGAAATGGGAATAGAAATATCTGGCTTTGGGAGACAACCCATTCCAATTCTGTAGTACACCAGGATATGTCAGAATCTGTCCATTTGGTTTAGTCATTGAGAGAGGGCCTTCTGAAAATTCCCTCCCCTTGTGAGGTTCACAAGGCAGGAGTTGAGACAGCAGAACCTCTTTGGTATAGTCCTCACTTTGTGGAATATTTTCCTCCCCCAAGTACAGTTTCCACTTGCTGCAATGCTGGAAATAGATTTAAACTATTTTCATTTTAATATAGTTTTGATTCCGCTGATTAAAAGTGTGGGCACATTTCTTGGGTTTTCTTTGGGACTTATATTTGCTCATTGGAAGGGAGTTGATATTATTCCAATTGACTCATTTATGATTATGTTATAATAATAACTTTCTTCTCATTGATGTGGTACGCTCACAATATCCTGTGGGATTGGGATGAGTTAATAAATTCAGTGAAATGCATAAACAACCACACTCCTTCCCTTAATCACTTACCAACAAAACTCCCTAGATTTTCAGTGATGCTTTTGGGCCTTTTCCCAGGAATGCTAAAGGTGGGGACAGGAATGATTTGACTCTCATTCCTGTTCCTATTGGTATCTAAATTTGGTCTTCCACCAAATTTAGGCAAAATAGAGTTGATTTCAGGTTGAGGATGTACTTACATGCAATATATAATAAGAAAATAGCTGTTGAAACATGGTATTTTGCTATTGAATTTCAAGACCATCTTAGGGTGTTAGAATATACATTTAAGCTGCAAGATACCCACTTAATAAAGAGAATCATCTCTGAATATTTTTTTTTGCTTCTGACAATATTGAAGGGATTTTATTTTCTGGGTATGCAGTCCTTGAGATGATACTGTCCAAGACCAAGATGAACCAGTAATTGATTTAATGTATGGTAATCTCATATCCTTGAAGCAAGATAGGTTGATGACATCAGCAAGTATTGCAGGATCATATTGGTTGGAAACATACGGAAGAGAGAGGCTTTCATCCTGCAGTGGATATACAATGTCTAAAATGATGATGAATCTCTCATATTCTCCTGGAGTAATGTGGTGACCTAGAGATGGGACTCTTGCCTCACAATCAGGAGGCTATGGATTTGTTCCTAGGTAGTGGCAGATATTTCTCTATCTGGCCGCAATGAGTAATTGTCTGCTGTGAACTCCATGTAGATGTCAGGAAGGGCATCTGGCCAGTAACCGCTCAGCTCCATTCAGTCGTCCCAACTTCACCCTGATGAATGGGATTACAGGGTCATTAAAAGAAAAAAAAATACATATATTCTGCTGAATTGTATCACATAGAAGATTCATTCTGTGATGAAATCCATTTTATGTTTGGATTAACTGGCAAAAATGAAGATAGGGAAGAAAAAAGAACAGTTATACGGTACAGAGAAGAATACAAATGGATGAAGTTAACCCAAAAGCCCTGGTTAGGCATGAGTTACCTTGAAGGGTAAAAATTCACTAGGCAAGCAGCCATCCCAATTATGGTTAGTTTTTAAGAATCAAGATTTTGGAACAGAAATGTCTTTTTCCACCTATTTGTTTTTATCAATTTCTGTCTCTGAATGAGAGTTGATTCTCTCCACCCCCCACATTTACAGATAATTCATGAAAAACAGTCTTCATATTGGGCAAATAAAACATAACTCGTCTCCACAGAGTGAGTTTGCATTTTGTCATCCAATCAGCTTGTCAGCTAGATCCAAGCTGTAAAGCAAATGAACACGCCTGAACAAGTAGTATTAAAATTTATTTAAAACCAAAATAAAACAAAAAACCAGCACATTCCTCAACCAGAATTTTCATTCAGAAAAGGCGATGGCCAGGGCAGCTTACAGAAGTCAAGGAAAGACTTCACTCATTGATGCCGAAGGTATAAGATGTGTTGTAGTGCTGGCTTTGGATATTTGAAGATGCCAATGAAATACTTAAGGAAAGAGAGGGGCTTCTTAATAATTGGATAAAATCACTGGTGACTTAGTGAGTAGAGAGACATTAGTCAGGCATTAGGCATCTAGACATTAATTAGCACATTTGTTGGTGGATTACTGTACTGCATTTTCTACACAAAAACTGTTGGCAGTTTTTAGGGGCAAACCCCTATTATGGGTCTGTGTTCATATTCTCACATACATATTCTCACATATCTTGGATGCAAAAGTTAAATCTATGTGCCATGTGTATAGGCTATGTTTTCTCAATCTTTGATTGGCAGAAAAACTTGAAAGTGAACCGGTCAAATTATACAAGGCCCTAATATATACATTACTTTGATTTGACTTGCCTCTTCTGTCACTACTCCTGTGCCAAGCAACATAATGTAATACATACTTTGGATCTGATTAGGTTGGATTTCATAGTTATATTCCTTGTCAGCAGCCCCCTCTGTACAGGGTGAGCATTATCGGCTTGATATATAACTATGTATGAGGCCCCAGTGTTGACAGTAGAAAGAAAAAGAAGCATATTGCTTGGAATAATATAAAATCATCTTTGAGACCCAGGATTATGTCATTTAGAGTAGCTTGTAAATTGGACCATACTAACAATGATTTTGTGTGTGTGTGTAGGCAGGGTGATTTAGGGGAATGGGAGACAGAATGATAATGTTGATTGGTTGTACACCATATATTGTTGCACCCACTGCTTGTATAGCACCCGCATGAAGTATACACATTTAACAACTGGAGAGCAAGCCATCATCACTGGCAACTTACACAACACATTTCACTGAAGGATACCACCGAGCTTCAAAAAACATTTAGCCACTAAAGTTAGTTTTGGACTAATGAGGGACCAGAGTTTCCCCACCACCAGCCTAAAATGGTAGCTTCTCAGAACATGACATGGAATATTTATATATATAAATAATACTCTGGTAATAGAAAAACACTTTAAAGAATATTTTAACTGGTAGTTTTAAAATTTCTCCTTTGATATTTAAAAAATACGCTCAAGCCATGTATCCTGTCAAGGGCAGCAAGAGGATTATTTTGTGGAAGCAAACTCTTGGAAAAGGGTCTAGTCTGAAAAAAGTGGCAAAACAGTAGATCTTTGTCCAAAGTGTATATAAGTAGTCCTTGCTTAGTGACCACAGTTTAAATGAGAAATTCTGTCGCAGTTGTTGTAAAGAAACAAGAAAGAAAAAGTGTGAAAGCAAAACTCCTTTCTTTTTCAAACTTCCCCTTTTCACACTTTCACACTGTTTGTTTTTTTTGCTATTTGAATTTTTCATGGTATAAAAACATTTGCTTTTATACTTTTTCATTCTTAATAAGATTGTTTGTGAAGCTGGGGATATTAGGCAGCAAATCACATGATTGTGACAGATATACCACTGCACATTTGCTCTAGTCATTAAGTGAAACATCACATGACTGTGACTTATGATTTTATTTCCGTGTTCTCTATTCACTCTGTCGCAAATTAGTTGTAAAGCACAGAAGTGACAATTAAGGGTCTACGGGATGCTGTAAGGGTTGTAAAATGTGAGGAGATAGGAAAGCATTTTGAATGCTTTGCCAAGTACAAAATTTTCTATAAGCACTCAACACATTGAAACAAAATGTTTTATAATTCAAGGCTTGCTTATTTGTTTGTCTTAAGTGAACAACTCAAAAAAATATAGCCCTACTCTGTTTGGAACTTAAAATGAAAGAATCTTAAAATACTACCTTTGAACAAAATTAAGAGTGTGTATCTACAACATCTGCTGAGGGTGGCTGTAGAATTATTTTATATAGTAGAGAAAGTTGGGTGGACCTTTTGCAATTCTGAGAATGGAAATAGCAAGGAATATAAGATGGTAGTTGTCAGTGAGAAGCAATCTGCACATATTATCCAAAAATAGTATGATCAGAGTGCTGGGCTATACCAGTAGAATTGGAGACTGGAAGCCATATTTTGAGTACATCCACATATAAAAGATATCTGGTATGTGGTTACGTAATGCCTTGGAACAGCAAAAGTTTGAACCAAAACCAGTCTGCCTTTGTTTTTAATGTGGATGCAAATTCAGAGCAGATTTTTCCTTGTTTGTCTTCAGAAGGGACAGAAATTCCATATGTTCCTACCTCAATGCCCAATTTTTGAAAGCTATCCTGAGGATTTCCTTCCAACCATGGTATAATTTTTCAATAATGGGTACTTAAGAACGGGGCATAATTAAAACCCCTTATTAATGTGTTTAATCTTTGCAAGTGATGTTGTAGGGAATATCTGTAGTCCTCTTGTGCCAATTACAGAGAAGGCCAGTACCCAAAGGACCCTTAGAGCCCAGAGTTTGAGACACAACTATATAGGTTTAAAAATTTTGAATAGCAAAATACATGCAGAGAACAATTCTGAATAATCTTTGAAAGACTCTTGCTCTTTTGTTTTAATTAATGCAAGGGAGGGGGAAGAGTAAAAAGTAGGAAAATCCATTTAATTCTAGTGAGAAAGAAAATAGGTGCTGTGTGGTCTGGAGGCTTCAAATTCCTGTAGCCTGAGATCAACCCTTTCTACTTAGGCTAAAACTTCCCACAGAGAAGGACCTGTTGGTACTTTGAAGTATTCCGGTAACCAGAATGCGGCCATCTTTTGGTAGTGTCGCTTTTGCAGGAAGGCGGGAGCTACTGTAGACCTATTGCTTGCTGACTGTGTGGTGCCACTTCTTAGCATTACACAAAAACAAAGCCCAAAGGTGAGGGTGTAATACAAATTATTACAGTCCGAGAAGGTACAAGGGTGAACCCTCTCAAAGCTCCACAGTTCTATTTGTCCTCTGAAATTCCTCCAGCTCCAGTTTCCTGCTCACCGCTATCTGCAGTTCCTGCTTGATCACTTCAATCTGCTTCTCCAGTTCTGAGAGTTCCTGGATCACTGAGGTCCTAGCAGTGTTCAGAGCGTCTGCTTTCCCGTTGGTAGTCCCTGGAGAGTCTCTTTTCAAGGAGGGAAACGCTGTATCATGCTGCAGTTGTTTGAGCATCACTTCACTCGGTTTTTCAATACTGCAGATGTATTTCCTTCTGTGGCAGTTGCCAGGGCTAGCAGTGTTCCAGACTGAAACTTGACTGTTTCTGGGACTGGACCTGCAGGGGGATGTTCACACAAGGCATTAGGAACTCACTATAATATACATACATACATACATACATACATACATACATACATACATACATACATACA